GCTCCATGGCGCCCTGTGCGGCCGCACAGCTCGCACACCCCTAATGTGGTTATTAATTCAGACTTTTGGATGATTGTTTATCAGGTAATAGTACATTTCTAAGGGTATTATATATTTTTGCAACTGACAAACAGCTACTCCTTTCTCCTCATTAACATCGTTTGTTTCAAGATATTGCTCTAATCTTTTAGTCTATGAATCCAAAGCATCTACATCTGGATCAGAATCGATTAATTGTCCAAATCATGCAATAACATGTTACAGTCTGTTATGAGTACTCACAGTGACTTAACATTGGCACCACTGTGAATTCATCCCTGAAACGTAGCATTCGATGCTTATTTCAATATGGTATAATATAATTAATAATTGCTTCCACTCCCCCCACCCTCCATACTCTCACTCATTCCTTTCTCAATGCCTCTCGTCCTATCACTGCCACCACTACCTCCATTTCTCTTCATCCATTCTGTCTCCCCATGATCCTATTACTCCCACCCATCCCACCTTCTCTTCCCATCCTATTATTACTGCCACACATCCCTCCCTCACTCCCCATCCTATTTTTACTTCAGTCAATTGTCCTCTTTCTTTCCATGCTCTTTTCACTTCCACTCATCCCTTCTTCTCCGCAATCTCGTATCACTACCAAGCATCCCTTCAGCTACCACATCTCATTTCCTCTCCATATACTAATAAGATTCATCTCTGTCCATTTTGCTGTGTGAGGTTATTTCAGTGAGATTGTGTGTGTTTGCTAACTGAATGTGTTTGTGTGTGAGGGTTGTGTGTTTTTTTTCAAGTAGTTTTAGTCCCCTCTACCTTACCTTTCAGCAGTAAGGGGGTACGATGCCTGTGGTGCTGATCTCATTCCTGGTGGTCCAGTGGGCAGGTGTAGACCACATAAACATTCTTCTGGAGTGGTGCTCACTCAGTAAGTCAGAGTGTTGCCACAGTAATCCAGCAGCAGTAGTGTAACTAATTCACTGCATGCCTCTGGAACAGCGAGGGAGTGCTTAAAATGCTTTCTGTGCTAATTTATTTAGTTTATTTCTGTATGGCAATATACTAAAGAAAGGCTTTGCAAGTGAGGCCCACCAGGCCTGGACCCGTCTCCCCCACCTTGACAGGGTAACTTCAAGGCCTGGTTGCAATAGCGTCTGTCGGAACACTGGTAGTGAATAAATAATCTTAAAGTGTCCATTCTGAGGTAAGATGTGCGCTTAGGCACTATAAATCCTCATTCACTGTGGAAAACACACTCAATAATTTCTCATTTTGCATTTAAGAGGTTACAATGAGGGTTTCAAATTTCACTATAGAATGCCAGCATTTTACATATATTAATGGAACACTCCAAGCATCTAAAGTCTGCTGACGTGTCTCTTGAATGAAGAGTGTGTCCTCTTTTTCATTTTACAAAAAAATGCAGATTTCAATGGAAATTGGCACTTTTATATCTTAAACTTGTTACACATCCTTGGTTTTTAATCAGGCAACCACTCAGTGGAAAAAAGGGGGGCGACCCCCTAAGGGGTCTAGAGTGTATAAAGGGAACTTAATAGGGGTTAGCCCTAGAAATAGAATACATACAAAACAAAGAAATGACGTGCAAGACGACCAAAGACTTTGCATGACCTGGAGGCATTTTGCCAAGACGAATGGGCATTTTTTTCTTTGTTGCCATGTTTTGTTTTATGTTTGTGCTATTCTGTTATAACCTACAGTTGAATGTGAATCCCATAAGAAATAAAAGATGTGTGTTTTGCCTGTTTACTCATGTTGTCTTTAAAAATGGTACATATATTACCAATTCTCCAAAAGTATGCAAACTTTTGAGCACAACTGTATCTCAGCAAACAGATATTGGAATTCATTTCCACCATATGGCCATATTGTGTTAATCCCACCACTGCTTCACAGTATCCCAAAATAAGTGGCTCCTACACTAATGCCCACGTGGGAGACAAGTTGAATAGTGCTTGTTCAAATTTACCAAAAGTGTTTAATAGGAAGAACCATCATACCACTGAAAAGAAGAATAGCAGAGCATTGTAGGAACATCGTCAAAGGATTATAAAACCACTCTGTATCATCACATTTGTGTATGCACAATAATAACCCTAAATACCTCACATTCACGGGTATTTCAATTGTAAAGAGCCACTGGAGTGGAGGAGATCTTATCAAGAGGAATGGCAAGAGAGAGATGGAAAGAGTCTACTATATGGATACTCTGCATCCAAATGGTCTGAATGCAGAATTGTATTTATTTATTTTTTTATAATTTGAAAGAACTTTACATTATTCATATTTTAGTCATATTTTATCATTTTTAAACTTTTACTATTACCTTATGATCCATTCCCACTGTGTTCTCCACCAACTAGATACTGTTTTAAATGATCAACTATTTGTATGTAATGTGAGAGTGTCATTAATCCATATTTTTTAAATCTAATGATATGTGTCATATTTCCATTTAGTTATTATAAATATTTGTTATGTTTCTATTATCTATCTATCTATCTATCTATCTATATATGCTTTGTAACAAAGCTTATATACCCATTATGTACCCATTATTGTTTTTCATACATGTTTCTTTAAGCAATAACCGCTAACCTACTTTCAGTGCATAATATATGTATGCCAATTTGTCTTAGCTTAATACAAAACAAGTAATGCAATAACATCTTCAATGCTACGTCATCAGACTTTAGGAAGCCATCTTGTCCCAAGTCAGGGAATTTCCCATTACCTTTTTAAAAAAAAATATATATAATCTTTTTTATTTTCCAAAGACAAAGACAAATTAGGACACAATATAAATACATGTTTTTGTTTTAAAACATTAACCCATTGCTCCGTTAAGATCAAAACATAACCAGCAGTTCATCTTAAATTGCCCCTTGCTCAACAATCGGCATAACACTCTATACATTATATATATAATTACACCTTATAAATATATAATATATATAATAATATAATAAAAAGAAAAAAAACAGACGTAAATTAAATACAACGCATACATATACACGGCCACATAGAATCATTAAGGTGAAGTTATATATATGCAGACTATAATTCCTATTTCTTTCCTTTACTTTCTTCAAATTCATTCTGGGAGAGAGAGACCCGGAAGAGAGAGCACAAGCAGTCAGACAGACCCCCCTTGAGCCCACAAGAAAAATTCCCACAAGATTCATTGGTACAAGGAGAGCCATGAGCTTTCATATCCCATTGTACAGCGCCACGGAATTTGTTGGCGCTATATAAATAATATAATAATAATAATAATAATAATAAACCTATAAAGTTTCTATCTGCTCTAACCAAGAGTTCCATTTCTCATAAGATAGTTTTGTTATACCTCTTTCCATTTTTAATTGGTATTTAAGCTGCTCTTTCACTAAGAGCCAAGTAGGAGTATTAGGCCCTTTCCAGTTCCTCGCTATGGAGATTTTTGCAGCCAACAGTAAGTGTAATACTAGAGGGGTGTCAAAACCAAACAGCTGTTTACCTTAATTTGTACTAAAAAAAATATCTGGGGTGAAACATCCAACCTTATTAGTCAAGATTAGCAGCTTATTTTTAATCATGTTCCAGAAATTGCAAATCAGTAAACAGTTCCACCACACGTGTAAGTAATCACCTTTCCGATCCCCACATCTCCAACAAGTATAAATGCTATCTGGAAAAAATTTTGACAACCTGGATGGGACTAAATACCAATAGTTTGAGAGTTTATATTGACATTCCAACAAATTGAGACAGTGGATCTTCTTATAGGTTTCATTCAAAGCTTTTCTCCAATTATCAGCCTTTTAAATTTAAGGCCCATTTCTCAAGAATAGGTTTAATAAGTGGTTCCAGGTCTCTGGAACCCAACTCCATACAACCAGCCAACATCCTCTTTAAAGATGTTCTCTCCATCAGTTGTCACAGAACCTTCACCCTTTCTGAGTTCGGGGATAGATATTTAATCAGAAACCCTTTAATTCTTTTTTTTTAAATTCTTTATTTATGCATCCATGTGGGTTGCGTAGAAGCCGCCATCGCGCAGTTTTTGTTTCGCCTGTTAAAGGTTTTATTTTATTTTATGCATAAAACATGTACAGGAAAATACAGGGAGTGCAGAATTATTAGGCAAGTTGTATTTTTGAGGATTAATTTTATTATTGAACAACAACCATGTTCTCAATGAACCCAAAAAACTCATTAATATCAAAGCTGAATATTTTTTGGAAGTAGTTTTTAGTTTGTTTTTAGTTATAGCTATGTTAGGGGGATATCTGTGTGTGCAGGTGACTATTACTGTGCATAATTATTAGGCAACTTAACAAAAACAAATATATACCCATTTCAATTATTTATTATTACCAGTGAAACCAATATAACATCTCAACATTCACAAATATACATTTCTGACATTCAAAAACAAAATAAAAACAAATCAGTGACCAATATAGCCACTTTTCTTTGCAAGGACACTCAAAAGCCTGCCATCCATGGATTCTGTCAGTGTTTTGATCTGTTCACCATCAGCATTGCGTGCAGCAGCAACCACAGCCTCCCAGACACTGTTCAGAGAGGTGTACTGTTTTCCCTCCTTGTAAATCTCACATTTGATGATGGACCACAGGTCCTCAATGGGGTTCAGATCAGGTGAACAAGGAGGCCATGTCATTAGATTTCCTTCTTTTATACCCTTTCTTGCCAGCCACGCTGTGGAGTACTTGGACGCGTGTGATGGAGCATTGCCCTGCATGAAAATCATGTTTTTCTTGAAGGATGCAGACTTCTTCCTGTACCACTGCTTGAAGAAGGTGTCTTCAGGAACTGGCAGTAGGACTGGGAGTTGAGCTTGACTCCATCCTCAACCCGAAAAGGCCCCACAAGCTCATCTTTGATGATACCAGCCCAAACCAGTACTCCTTGCTGGCGTCTGAGTCGGACTGGAGCTCTCTGCCCTTTACCAATCCAGCCACGGGCCCATCCATCTGGCCCATCAAGACTCATTCTCATTTCATCAGTCCATAAAACCTTAGAAAAATCAGTCTTGAGATATTTCTTGGCCCAGTCTTGACGTTTCAGCTTGTGTGTCTTGTTCAGTGGAGGTCGTCTTTCAGCCTTTCTTACCTTGGCCATGTCTCTGAGTATTGCACACCTTGTGCTTTTGGGCACTCCAGTGATGTTGCAGCTCTGAAATATGGCCAAACTGGTGGCAAGTGGCATCGTGGCAGCTGCACGCTTGACTTTTCTCAGTTCATGGGCGGTTATTTTGCGCCTTGGTTTTTCCACACGCTTCTTGCGACCCTGTTGATTATTTTGAATGAAACGCTTGATTGTTCGATGATCACGCTTCAGAAGCTTTGCAATTTTAAGAGTGCTGCATCCCTCTGCAAGATATCTCACTATTTTTGACTTTTCGGAGCCTGTCAAGTCCTTCTTTTGACCCATTTTGCCAAAGGAAAGGAAGTTGCCTAATAATTATGCACACCTGATATAGGGTGTTGATGTCATTAGACCACACCCCTTCTCATTACAGAGATGCACATCACCTAATATGTTTAATTGGTAGTAGGCTTTCGAGCCTATACAGCTTGGAGTAAGACAACATGCATAAAGAGGATGATGTGGTCAAAATACTAATTTGCCTAATAATTCTGCACTCCCTGTATATACAAAAGAAGAACAAAATAGAAGGAAAATATAGTTAAATTTGCACGAGTGAGTAGTCGTCTGTGGGTGCTCATTCGTCTTGTGTTTTTTCATCATATTGTTGTAGCGTTGTAGGCCTGTGGCTTCTATGCCTTTAAAGTCTCTTGCCCTAATTCCCGGTGGGAATGCTCTGTTGCGTAGTACTGGGGTCATTGGGGACGGGAGGTTTGTAAGTTTAAATTTCTGTGCGATTTGATCCCATAAGCAGATGGAGTTTAGAATGACAGGGCAATCGGTCTGTAAGAGTACTCTATGTTTTCTCGGTGTCCATATGAGGAACTGTGGGAGGTCTGCGCCTGTCAGGAGAAACCCTTTAATTCTTAGGTAATTAAAAACCTCATCATGGCCTAAGCTATATTCAGTGTTCAGAGTATGGAAATCTTTAATATTATTATTATTATCTGTCATCAGGTTTCCTATTTTAGAAGCCGCCATCGCGCAGTTTTCGTTTCGCCTGTTAAAGTTTTTCTTTTATTTTATGCATAGAACATGTACAGGAAAATATATACAAAAGAAGAACAAAAAAGAAGGAAAATATAGTTAAATTTGCACGAGTGAGTAGTCGTCTGTGGGTGCTCATTCGTCTTGTGTTTTTTCATCATATTGTTCCCAAAGGATTTTGGAGATTTTGGAGATTCCTAGAGAGATTGGGCCAATGCTCTTCGAGCTGCTAGATTAAGCATATTCAATAGTCTTTGGTCATGTTTGTCTAGTCCTTCAGTCGGACGTGATAGAAGACTTGCCCAAGGGTCCAGTGTTATTCGTCAGTGTAAGATTCTAGTGTTCATGTCTATTTTCCCCAAAACTCTTTTACTTTGGTGCAGTGCCACCACATGTGGATGTATGTGCCCTTTTCCCCACATAGTCGCCAACAGGTGTCTGTGGGACATAGTTGTATGTGGCATTGTTTAACGGGGGTTGTATACCACCGTAGCATTGTTTTGTATGCTTGTTCCTGGAAGGTCGTGCATATAGACACTTTTGCGTTTGCCTCCCATATATCTTGCCACTCAGTACCCTCCAACTTTTCACCCAGATCTGCTTCCCATTTGTCTGTGTATGTCTTTGTTCCCCATGTTCCTGATTCCAAGCATATGTGGTTGTACAACAGTGAGATTAATTTCACTGGCATTTTTTCTTTTAGGCAGATTTGTTCAAAGAAAGTAATTGTCAGGTTATACCTGCCATGCTTTTCGCCGAAAGAACCCACTTCCGGGTTCACGGAGCTTCGCCCCGCCCCTTTTTTCTGACGCGGTCCTTCCACGCTACATAGGAAGACCGCGCCAGATTCAAAGGGCTGGATTATTGCACAGGTGTCTGTAAAACTTACCAGCTGCTCTATTTTGAACTTACCGTGTACCGAATAACGCTCTGGGACGACTACCCTCCTTCTCCACTCCTTCACCTCGGCTTGCTAAACTGACTTCTATTCCTCTACACAACTATTGGATTTAATTAAGCTCTTCAGTTCCAGAACTGCCTCTTAAGCTAAGTATTAGTTCCTACAATCAGGCTACTCTCTGAGACTAATAAGAGACTGTTTCTAAGGCTCAATACTGTGTCATTCAATCAAGTTACTCTCTGTTATAAATAAGGAACTGCTTCTAAGGCTTAATTCTACTTCCAACAATCAAATTATTCCTAGTTGCAATTCTGTCTTGCCTCATTGATAATTTTGCTTGCAGTTATTCTATCACAATTAACCTAACCTAACTCTGCATACATTCTCTGCACTATTCTTAAATTGGGACTGTTTGGCTTTGTGCAAATCATCAGTGGCTTATTTTTTCCTTGCAATTAACATCCTGCTTGAAGGTTTAAAGCTACAGTATCCTCTCCTCCACATCAGTAACAAAAAGAGGTAAAACTAACAGTTACTGGAATTAAAATTTCTGCAGTTGAGTTCCAAATAAAGTAGTATTACAGTAATGGGTTTGGCATTTGCCGTTTTGACCTCCTTGGTTTGTGCAAAATCTCGCAATTGGACGTATCGGAAGAAGTCGCAGGTTTTTAATGGGGCAAGGGTTTGTAAGTGTTGGTATGGTACTAGTTGGTTGTCAATATACAGGTGAGTGTAGCGTTGTAGGCCTGTGGCTTCTATGCCTTTAAAGTCTCTTGCCCTAATTCCCGGTGGGAATGCTCTGTTGCGTAGTACTGGGGTCATTGAGGACGGGAGGTTTGTAAGTTTAAATTTCTGTGCGATTTGATCCCATAAGCTGATGGAGTTTAGAATGACAGGGCAATCGGTCTGTAAGAGTACTCTATGTTTTCTCGGTGTCCATATGAGGAACTGTGGGAGGTCTGCGCCTGTCAGGAGAAACCCTTTAATTCTTAGGTAATTAAAAACCTCATTATGGCCTAAGCTATATTCAGTGTTCAGAGTATGGAAATCTTTAATATTATTATTATTATCTGTCATCAGGTTTCCTATTTTAGAGATAGGTTTCCTATATTAGCCTTGATATAATTCAGAGAGAGACATGGAATCAGCCTATAGAATGTAATCTCTTTTGAGCAGGGTCCTCTTCAACCTATCGTTTCTGTAAGTTTTCTTGTATTTGTTCTATTTATAGTTTAATTCCCCCCCCCCTCATAATATTGTTAAGCGCTATATAAATGGTAATAATAATAATAATATTCAGAATTTTTTGTTTTTTCTTAAATTTTTTCCATTGCTTCAATTTATCTTGCAAGATTTTGCTTTCGGTTTTCACACAGGGGAAACCTCTACCCTTATGTTTTAGTATAAACAATAGATAAGATGTTCAGACTTTAAGATGCCATCTTGTCCTAAGTCAGGGAATTTCCCATGAAGTGCGCACGTTTTAGTTATGGCCTTGTAACTTTGCCAAGGGAGGTCCTAAATTGAACATCTAAGATATAAATATGTGTAAATGTTAAGACACAGAGGAGAGATTTGGAGATGGAGACACTGTCACTCCATATTATAATCACTGCGTTTACACTTCTGAAGAAGCCTTGGAGAGGCAAAACGCATTAAGTGGGTTTCTTTAAAGTATTTTATTACAATTATATTGTTTTAAAATTTGTTTCGGTTTAATAAAAAGTTAACTTTTTTTATAGATATACTTACCTTTTTATTACCTATTTACCTACTGTTTCCACATATCCTTAGGTGGGAATAATACCACCCTTGCTGTTCATACTAGAACATGTTCTGCTCTGGGAAATGTAAGTACATTACTTTATCTTCATTTGGTTTTCAAATAGTACTTACTGGAGTTTTTTCTCTGTATTTATCTTCACATATATCCTGCACACTGCACTTTATCTGAAGTACCTGTGTAGGCTGAATCATCATATATCCTTACACGGGGATTATACCGTCCATGCGCACAACAGCAGAGCTCTAAGTTAGCTCTAACAAATGTGAGTGGACTATATATGTGAATTTATACTCTTTACCTATACACATCATATTGTGCTGTACTATTATTGTGTCTTTTTGTTCTTATTCTGAGGTCAGCCATGTTAAACAACTTGAAGACCTATGTACCTATAATATCTGTACACTGAAACTGAGCGCAGTATACTCTGTCTTCTTGTAACTTATTTAAATAACCTGTTGTAAAAGCAGTGTGATGATGTATCCTGTGAAGATATATATAATGCAAGATAAATGTGATAGTAAACACAATACTAAAAAAAAGTGTCAAAATTAAACAATTAAACAATTAAAGTGATAGTGCTTTGGTACATACTCACAGTCGTATCATATATTTATTCTATATCAAATGATACATACTCACAATCTTATCATAGATCTACTCTATACAAAATGAAAATTAGAAACAAAGTTAGATTACTTTTTAAAAGCTACTCAAATTTATACTTTTCTGTGGTCAACACCAAAGGGGCATTTTACATGGTAAAGAAAAAAAGGAAGGTGATTCTTGGACGCAAAAATGCTCGTTGTTTGTATCTTTTGCTCTTTTTTGGTACCTGACTCCAGCTTGTTTGACTAGTCTTCACTTTTGTATTCTGGCATTGGCTTGTCCATTGTGTGTGTCTTTTTGTACTCCTTGATCTTGACATGTTTCAGGTTGCAGACATTCTGTTTAGTGCAAGCGCCCAACCACTCTCTAGGTCCGGTACTCACTCTTCTCCTTGCTCTGTGTGGGTTTTCGTGTTGTGTTTAGGCTAACCTTAACATTACAACAGGGTAGTTAGTACTGGATAACTAAGGCAAAAAAACATTGCTACATAAAATGTAATAAAATAAATTGTAGCTTATTAAAGGACCACTCTAGGCACCCAGACCATTTCAGCCTAATGAAGTGGTCTGGGTGCCAGGTCCCTCTAGGATTAACCCTTTTTTTAATAAACATAGTTTCAGAGAAACTCCTCTGTTTATAATAGGGTTAATCCAGCCTCTAAAGCCTCTAGTGGCTGTTTAATTAAAAGCATTCATAATGCTTTCCTATGGACACTGCCGTCTTCTCACTGTGATTTTCACAGTGAGAAGCACGCAAAAATCACAGTGAGAAGACGGCAGTGTCCATAGGAAAGCATTATGAATGCTTTCCTAGGAGACCGGCTGAATGTGCACGCAGCTCCTGCCGCGCATGCGCATTCAGACGAAGAGGAGGATCGGAGGCAGAGAGGAGGAGGAGATCTCCCTGCCCGGCGCTGGGATAAAGGTAAGTTTAACCCCTTTCCTCGCCATCCAGCCCGGCGGGAGGGGGTCCCTGAGGGTGGGGGCACCATAAGGGCACTATAGTGCCAGGAAAACGAGTATGTTTTCCTGGCACTATAGTGGTCCTTTTTTTTTTTAATTCTTTATTTTTGTGGCTGGCCAT